AAATTCTTGAAGGGCTTTAGGAACGGAAGGAAGGAGACTGAAGTAGCCAGGAAATAAAGAGGGCAATCCAAGTCATCCACAGATTGATAAACCAGGGTGGGAGGGTGAGCGATTTGCGGTGTCCTGCCTCACCGCTGGTGAAACGAGGCCAGGGAATTCTTGACACTTCCCCAGGAATGCCAGGGAGGGGATGAAAAAGGGTGCCGCAAAAAAATTTGGGATGTTGAACGAGAGGGGCAGATGGAGATAATCCATCCCAACACTCATTCTGATTTGTTTAAGGGGATCCCTCAGGAGAGAGAATAATGGCTTGGGAAGGAAGCACCAGGTTCAACTGCAGTGGGATATGCCAGTTGAATGTGTAGCATGTGTTGTGTCCACCTTGCAGAAGCGAGGGGGGAAGGGCTGTTCTGATCTGCGCTGGGTGCTGGGGGTGGGTGAAGAGAGAGAAAGCCTCTTGACTCCTGTGCATGTTTTTTTTTCATTTTTCACTAAGCGTAAACATGTGTGTGGTGGGGAGCAAAGCTCTTCCCATAGGAGAAGAGTGCAATTTGAAAGTTGTCAGCAAATACACACAGAACTTGACTGGTGAAATATATGGCAATCGCTGCATATTTTCAGTGGAATGAGAAGATGCCTCGTGTGAATTCTGCTTGCCACTCACATCTGGGTCCTCCTCGCACTCTCCAATTTTGCTCCCTGCTTCTCCTTAAGCACCTGTGCTTCCTGGGAAGCCTATGAATGAAATGGGAGCTATAGACTTCCATGCACACTTGTTTGCCACTCGTTGTGGGGAGGGTGGGTAAGGGGGGTTCATGTGAAGCCCGCTGCGAGGGTGTGAGAACTGAGCCTTATCTGTGGTGTATAAGGGTAGAAAATACAGAAATGTGTGTGTTGTATGTAGGCGATCCCATGGCCCTTTCTGTTTTCTTCCTACTGGTAGTCGCTTAAACCTGTAGCAAGGGAGTATGTCAGGAAAAGTTTGAGAGCCAGCAGTGTCCACCCTCTTTTCCGCCTCAAATTTGGGGCCGGGCTAAAGAAACTGGAGAGAGTGAGCCTTCTCCTCTCCCGAGTGGGGAATCTGGAGCACGCCCAGGAGAAGCCTAGATCAACTGGTGGGTGGGGAAGCTTTTATTCTCTTTTTCTTCTTAGAGTCAAGGAGGATAGGGAATGAGGAGAGGGGAAAAGGCTGTTGAGCTTGCTCTAGGCCAGAGGTGTCAAATTCAAGGCTCATGGGTTGGATGTTTAGATCTGGCCCAGAGGCCGTGGGGGTGGGGGGGAGGGCTGCTTACGTTTTCAGCTGGAAGGCCAAAAACAGGCCATGTGGAGGAACACCCAGGAACTACGTGTGGCCATTTTTGGCCAAGAGATTGCTGCAGGAGGCAATGGAGGCTGAAAAAGGGGCCACAGGGGGAACGCTTGGGGCCTCCATACAGTCCGTTTTTGGCTGGGAGAGTGCTTTAGGAGGAAATGGAGGCCAAAAACAGGCTACAGCAGGGCCGCCCGGGGCCTTCACATAGCCGTTTTAGGCCGGGGGAATGCTGCAGGAGGACTGGCTTGGACTGGATTACAATTCTGAGGCCTCAAGTAAGTGCCTGATTGGGATAGAAAGCAAGCACCTCCTATGTTAATATTACAATTTAATGCCAGATTTTACATACTATAGGTCCATTTAATCAACAATCAGTGCCCAAAGCGCACAACCTCAAAATGCAATGCAAGTGCCCACCATGCATGCACCCTGACCCCCTGTGCATGTGTGTGCGCCCCCTGCCATGTGCCCCACCCCCCTTTGCCCATTTTTGGCTTCCATGCTGATGCAGGAGGCTTTCCAGGCCCCAAATGGGGCAAAATGCAATGCAAGCTCCCCTGCACATGCACCCTGGCCCCTGCGTATGCATGGCAGAGACCCAAAGACCTGCTGGCCAGCAGGAGACACTTGGGCATGCAGAGTGGAGCTGGCCTGGGGTGATGGCTGGCGTGCCTGTGGAGAGGGCTCTGCGTGCCACCTGTGGCACACATGCCATAGGTTCACTATCACGGATCTATTCTGTATTTTGTATTTTATATTCTGTATTTTATTTTGTATCTATAATTGACAGCCATTTCTCTTTACCGTCATGGAAATTTATCTCTGCTCTTAGATCTTGTATTATGTTATTTATGCTATTTTATTTTTATTATTAGTTGAATAATAAGAATACAATAGTATAAATAGCTTTTCTGCCTGGAGAACCATGGGGTATAAATTTAGAAATAAAAAGTTTACTGGAATATGAAGAATAAGTAATAAATGTTTGCCAGTAATATCTGGTAGAAGAGATAGGAAAATGGTTATAGTAAAGAACTGTAGAAAGAAAGTAGGGAAAAATGCATCTTGAGCCTATGTCAAACGCCAAACATGGCCACACCTGCCCGGCATGCCCACCATGCCGAACTCTGACCACCACCCCTGGCCCTCCAAGGTCAAAGACATCCTTGATACAGCCCTCAATAAAATTGAGTTTGAGACCGCTGCTCCCCTTACTGATTTCCGTCGCAGCTGCCATAAGAAAAATAGGACTTGATTAACAAACGAGCCTTTCATTATGCAACTTCTTCAGTCGTGCCTGGTTCTCTCCTCCCGCTCCTGCCCCGTGTACACCTTTTTTGCCCGCCATGCAACAATTGCACCTCCCTTTTGGGCATTTCCTGAAGTGGAAGGGAGGTGATTATAAAAATTATTTCAGGCATCCCAGGGCGAGCTAATCCAAGCTACTTTTCATTTCTAATGAGAGGAAAGAAACAGACTCATTGGGGGAGAAACTTCATCTCCCTCTGGGCGAAAAATGTTTGGAGAACTATCGCCAGCCCCCTCCTCTCCATCCCACTGTCTGCTTGCCCAGAGCCTCAATCAGGACCAAATACTTGGCATGCCCCTGTCTTACCTGCCCTGCCAGGAAAGCAAAGAGTTCCCACAAGGCCAGCAGCAGCATGGGCAGCTGCTTGATGTCCAACATGGTACCCGTTTCAGTCGAGAAGTGTTCCTGCAGCAGCTGGCCCAACAGGCAGGGTGGGTGGATGTCAAGGCATGCTAAGGCCTGTTGCAGCTGTGGGCAAGCAGAGAGGGTGGGGCTGTGCTCCCACTCACGTCAGTCCCTGTGCTTGCCACCTCCTGCACATTAAAAAAAAAGACCTGAAAATAAGCCCGAGTGTTATTTTCAAGCCCAAAAGAAAACAAGATCGAGTCTTATTTTTGGAGAAACATAGTAGTTGCTTTCTGCTTCAGGGTGGAGCCCAGTCCAGCACTGCTTGGACTTTTTTTGGGTGGGGGAGGTCCATTTCAATACCATCGTGTGAGTTGCAATAATTCAAATAGTCTTATTATTCTCTGGTGAAAGTCAAACTTGTAAAGTTTGGCATACAGTTTTGTGGCCTGCAATTTTCTTTGTCTATTGCCTATAGCTCTCACTAGTTTCACGTGCTCTGCCTTTGTATCAGTGTAGATTAAAATGTCGTCTAGCTATACCAGTGCTCCCTTATACAGGTGTTGGTGTAAGACTTATATAACCGAATGGGAGGACTTTAAACTGGAAGCATCCAAAAGAGCAGTTGAGTGTGGTCTTCCACTGATCCCCCTGAGAGGGGATGGCCTGACACCCCTCCCTAATTCTCTCACAATAGTAGGCTTCTCACAGGTTCAGTTTGGTGAATGTTTTGCCCTTGTTGGCTAGCATGTTTTTATCAAGAGCAGAGGTAGATGTTTTGTACACAAACAGCATTTAACCCCTATAATCCATGCATAGATGAAGCATCCCATCCTTTTTGCAGAAAAGGACAGGAGCTGTCACCTAGAGTCAGGTCAGTTGAATGACATCGTGTGCATGGTCTCCATGGTAGGGTGGTGTACCTCTCCGGGTTGACCAACTTTGCAGATTCTGCCTAATGTAGGGACCTGACCAAGCTGCTCTCTCAGGAAAGTGACTCCATTAAGTTAAATCAATCACTTTTTCTTATTGAGAAAAAGTAATTGCAAAAAAGCAAGGTGGAATCTGAAAAGTCCCATGTAGAGCACAAAGCAAACCTTAATAAGGTAAAGGTTCTCCTGCACATGTGTGCTAGTCATTTCCGGCTCGAGGGGCGGTGCTCATCTCAGTTTCTAAGGCGAAGAGCCAGCGCTGTCTAAATACAACTCCATGGTCATGTGGCCGGCATGACCAAATGCCAAAAGTGCATGAAGCGCTGTTACCATCCCATCAAAGTGGTCCATATTTTTCTACTTGCATTTTTTATGTGCTTTCGAACTGCTAGGTTGGCAGAAGCTGAGACAAGGAAAGGGAACTCACTCTGTTATGCGGCGCTATATATTCGAACACTGAACTGCCAACCTTCTGATTGACAAGCTCAGCGTCTTAGCTACTGAGCCATCACGTTCCAATCCCCCCCCCCCCAATCAGTCCACCAGCAGCCAATGTGATGCTCCAAGGTTGTTTTGAGAACGCTGAGGTGCTAGGCAGACAAGAGTTCGCCCTTAGGGCACAATGGCCTTGAAACCAGGCTGGAATTGGCTGGAAGGGAATCTGTTCCATCTCCGAAGATAATTCCCCGCCCCCAATTCCCAAGCAGTTAAAGCAAAAGCATGCAAAAATGCCAGCAAGCCTTCTCCCCCACCCACTTCCAAAAAAAAGGTAAAACACAATGGTGGACCTGACAACTATTCAGTGCTACAAGCTTTTACTGTCATGGTGATATGGGAAGTCTTTATTAGCTACTACCTAATAAAAATATGTAAACTATTTCATTTCCATTTATTTATATATTTGTGTAAGTACTGCCTTTTCCTTTATAGAAATCTTGCACAGGTAGCTCTTGAAAATGGAAGTAGAACCCTTAAATAATTTTAGTTTGCCACTTTTGAATAACTTTTGTTTTTGAAAATTTATAAGTAATAGCTAGGTAAAAAATTGATTGCAAAAGAATACACTGTTTTCTGCCAAATTAAAATCCTTTCCATTTTCCAGGTGGTTTCAGACACCATCCCAAGTTTTCTATCATGCTGCAACTGAGCATGGAGGAAAAGATGTCTACCCTGGACAGTGTTTGTGGGAGGGCTGTGAACCTTTCCAGAGACAAAGGTTTTCGTTCATTACCCACCTACAGGTAGAAATTTCTCATTCCTTTTCTAGGGTTTTATAAAAATAATTTATATAAATAAAAAGTGTGTTTTAGAAATTTCTAGAGTGCTGAAGAAGAGCCAGCCATTTGGCATAAAAATTTTTTGGTAAAGTTTTTTTTTTCATTTTCATAACATATAATCACATGTATACTATTATATAGTATAATACATCGTATTGCATTATTAAATGTTTACATCAATTCATCTTACCATCAACTCCCGAAAAGAAAAAGAAAAAAAAACAGTTATTGGCTCTTCTGCTCTCCATACACTATATTTGTGCGTTCACTTTCTT